AGATTGGATATTGGGAATAAATTCTTCCCTGTGAGGGTGCTGAGGCACTGGCACAGATTACCCAGAGAAGCTGTGTCTGCTCCATCACTGGGAGTGTTCTAGGCCAGGTTGGATGGGGCTTGGAGCATCCTGGGCTAGTGGAAGTTGTCCCTGCCCATGGCAGGGGTTTGGAAAGAGAAGAGATGGTAGGTCCTTCCAACCAAACCATTCTGTGATTGTACCTAAAGATGTAATTTAGATTAAGACTTTCTGTGTAGCAAATCAACACAAAAAACAGGCCAGGAGCACAAGATGTGATTCCACCTCCTTTCTTGGGGATTTTGTTCTGTGAGGGGATCACATGCCATGTTGTGTTTTATTCCAGATGAATTCAGGTATATAAGCACCATCTGAAGCAGGGATTGATGCAGAAAGGGCTGGAGAATTACAACAGCTCTACCAACAACTCTTTGCTTCACATTAAAGGCAGGAGAATATTTCTTCGAGACCATTAGCTGCTTATCCTATGAGAAAAATAACACTCTGGGTCATGTGCAACAGCATCATGTGCCCTTTTCTGTGCCAGCATGCTAGTATTTTATGGTGAAGGTTTTGATCTAACAGGTTCCATCGCAAACACTAGACAGCGGAATTCTCAGCTGTTTGGATAGAGGAATATTGATGGGTAATTGCTTGGGCATCTATAGTCTAAAAGGTCCTTGATTGCCTTGTTGATGTTCCTGATGTATGTTAGCTTCTTGCTGTGCATGATGTATATTCTTGCTTGCTCATGCTGTAATAGTCTCATGTGAAGCCAGAGATCAAGTGGGAAAGGAGATCTAGGAGTAGTCAGCTCTCCTTAGCAATGCTGGATCTATAGTTAGTGTCATCCAGCTGTCTCAGCAATAAATAACTTTGTTTCCTAGAACAGGTAAAGTTTTATCTTTGTGAACACTACTTAAAAATCAACAGACTCTCCTTTTTCTTTGAACTTTTCCTCCCTGGCCAGCCTTCCCAGAGTCTTAAGGAATGGATTTGTGCTGATCACCACTCTTACTCTTCCCCCACCTTCACAGGCCTTTGTGAACATGAATGAGTGACGCTTCACAAGAAAAGAGATTGGTATTTTACAAACCTGGCACATCTTTCCCAGAGCCAACCTTACCTGCCCTGAGGCACTACTTTACTCCTCCTGCTTCTCTTGGTGCCAGGCTTGGATTGTTTATTTCTGCTGAGCTACAAATGTTCATGCCTTGCTTTTTCACAGAAATTTCTTTCAAAGTGTTATCAACCCCCCACGTGGCCACTTTTATCAGGGTAGTGCTTTTTCTCATCTCTTCTGTCCATCAGAGCTGCTTAACAGGGACAAAGCCAGGCAGATCCTCTGGGAAAGCATCAAGACAATCCTGCCTGTAGGCAAGGCCATGGAACAGCTTCAGCTTAATATCACTCTCCTCTGAAGACAAGGCTCTTTCTCAGGGGTTAAAGATCAGCAGCAATATTTGTTGCAGAAATACTGATTCTTCACTCCTGATTTCTTCCCATTGCTCCTGGAAGAAGAAAATGATGGAGAGAGGAACAGACAAATAGGTCAGAATGAGAACAAGAAGTGTTGGGAATGACAGCATGGATTCAGTGGGTTTCCTTCACTGGTGCAACCACTTTGCTGCAGTGGAATAAATTTGTACCTGGTGGTGCAGCTGGCCCCAGTGCTGAGCTATGTGTGGATCCCACAGCCTCCTCCTTAGGATTTGCACAGAGATTGTGCACAGAGATTCAGCAAATGCTTATCAAAAAAAACAAGAAAGAAAAGAAGGCAAGCAATAAATCATTTGAATATCTGCTTTCATCAAGCCTGGTTACATCCAAGTGCCAGCACTTTTGGGATTTTATTTGGGAAAAGTCTGATTTCATTTGCAATTTAACCTCAATCAGCGCAGGGATTGAATCAGAAAGGAGGCTCAGATACCAAGCCCAGTTCTGCCCAACCCAAGTCACATTCCTCAAACAATTGTCAATGCCTTGAGTGGTGACTGGTTTAGCTGGAAAAGCAGATCCTAAAGGGGGAATGTGGGAATTTGGCTGAGGGCTGTGGTTCTATTTAAAATCAGTTAGGCCAGGGCAGATGAACAGACTTTGGATTTTGAGGAACATGGCTCATGCAAGTGAGTACAGTTCCTTAGATACTGTGAGAGTTTTGCTTTTCCTGGCTCTGTTTTGTGTGGCTGATGGTGGGAAGCTGTTGGTGGTGCCCATGGATGGGAGCCACTGGCTCAGCACGTGCTCGCTGCTGGTGGCTCTCAGCCAAAAAGGGCATGAGAGTTGCACCAGAGGTGAACCTCAATGTGAAGGCATCTAAATATTACACTCTCAAAATGTATCCAGTGCCATTAACCAGGAAAGAACTGAGAGCATGTGTGCACTCATTTGGGAATGATCTTTTTGAGAGAAGACCTTTTCTCCAAAAAATTACCACGCTCTATGAAAAAGCCCAGGTCATCTCCGACCTCTACACTTCCTCCTGCAGCAGTTTACTGCACAACAAGGATCTGATGCACTGTCTTGAAAGGAGTAAATTTTATGCTGTCCTCACAGATCCTGTTGTACCATGTGGACAAATCCTGGCTCTGCATCTCTCTATCCCATCTGTTTTCTTTCTCCGGGGGCTTCCCTGCAGTTTGGATTTGCAGGCTGCTCAGTGTCCAGACCCCCCTTCCTCCATCCCAAGAACATTTACAGACAATTCAGACCACATGACCTTTATCCAGGGTGTGAAAAACTTTGCTTTCAAATCATCAGAGTCATTTCTTTGTGAAATTGCCTATTTGCCATTTGAACTTCTGGCCTCAGATGTTCTTCACAAACCAGTAACAATGAAGGAGCTCTTAAGCCATGGATCCATTTGGCTTAAAAGAATGGATTTTGTTTTTGAGTACCCCATGCCAGCAATGCCCAACATAGTTTTTATTGGAGGTATAAACTGTGGAAAGGAAAAGCCACTCTCTCAGGTCAGTGATTTCCATGGTAAAATAGATTCATGTTTAATGCTGTTAGCAGATGTTCTCTGTGTATGTAATTGGCTATGTGAGTTTGTGAGGTTTATACTTATAGAATCATAGAATTAACTGGGTAGGAAAAGACCTCTCAAGATGATCAAGTCCAGCCCTACCATGGCACTAAGTGCCACATCTCCTTGTGCTGTAAATCAGACAAAGAAAACTGGTGAAATAGACAAAGTAATAGGTGAAAAACTGGGTTGGTTTTAATTGTTTCCCACTCCTGCAAGTAATTCTCTGTAGCACTAGCAGGATCTAAGTATTTTTTGCCTCCACAACTGTTTCCTTTGGGCTAGGTGGGAATAGTTCATCACTGACTAAGCAGGCACACACACCCTCTTACCATCTCTGCTGCTGCTGTTTGGGAGTTCAGTGTTGCTAACTCAAACTATTTGCTTTACTGTTATGATTGATTTTTAAAAGCAGTGAATCTTATTGGTTGATAGCCCTACCCATTCCTAATTTGGCAATGAAGTGTCATAACACATCAGTTGTTAGATAATGTTCTGATTGCTCTATCAGCATCTGCATCTGCCAGAGCTTGTGCTGCCTGCTGAAAATTTTCCCTGCAAAGGGTTTGCCCAGAGCTGCAGTAGTTTGATAAACGTCCTTAAAAGTATTCTGGTGTGTATATCAACCTCCATATTAAATTGTTCTGTTGTCAAAGTTGCTTCTCTGCCATAATTGTCCTAATTAGGGCTTGTCTGCAAATCCTGTCTATGCAGGAATGTTTTTCTCTTTCATGGCCCCAGGGTGAACTCTTCCTAGACTGCTCTAAAATGGTGTTTTTGAGGTGCTCATTCAGTTTTATCTACAGCTGGCAAGAAACATGTCCTTCGTCCTTTCAGTCCCTACTTCATCCTTCCAAAAAGATCCTTCCAGGGAAATGAACTTTGATAGCCAATTTTCCTTTTTCCTCACAGTGTCACAATGTAAAACTGATAAAGAAACCACTGCGTTTCTCATGTGAAGGATTAATATTTTCCTAATCCTTTACAAAGAGAAAATGATATGGACTGGCAGGAGGGTAGGGATTATTTTACACTGAAACATCTTGTTTGGAGAATTAATATTCTGTTAATTAGCTCTTGTGAGCAGAGTTGTTGAAGGATCCCTCATCTCCTTAAATCATAGCCTCATGGAATAGCTTCTGGGTGGATGTGTTTCGTGATCTTCCCAGGCACATAGGTGAGCCTGACAGCTCTGGAGTTCCCAGGGTCCTCTAAAATGTTTCCTTTTTTCCCAGTCACCTGGGACTTCACCTGAATGCCAGGGCTTTTTCAATATCACCAAGAGTCGCTTGGCAACTATTTCAGCCAACTCCCTCAGAACTCAGGTCCCATGTGTTCAGGTCATTAGGTCTCCTTATGCATGTTTGGGTTCCACAAGCAGTCACAAACAAGATCTTCTCTTACACTGGGTGGGATTTTGCACTCCCACTCTCCGGCTTTTGTCCATCCACTCAAGAGGTATGGGAAGAGAGATTGCCAGTGAAGACTGAGGTAAAAAAAGCTGTTGAGTACCTCAGTCTTCTTGTCCATTGTTAGCAGTTTGCCAGGATTATTTATCAGGAGGGATACACTTCCTTTGACCTTCCTTTTCTGGCTGACATGTCTGTTGAACCTCTCCTTGTTAATATTTGCATCCCTTGCCAAGTTCAGCTCCAGCAGCACCTTGGACTTCTTGACCCCATCCCTACAACCCCAGACAACATTCCTCCAAAGCCAGTGTCCCTCCAACACAGAATGGCAAATGTTGTACACTCCAGCTGCTGCCCTGATTAGTATCTGCCAACCTGGCTGAACTTTAACACCTCTATAGCCATCTTTGCCATATTAATGATTATATATTTACCAAAGAGCAAATAAGTCTAAAGATCATCCAGAGAAAGCACATCACAGGTTGCTTAAATACACATCGCTGGGAATATTCTTCCTTAGAGGCACTCCCTGGATTTCTGCAGACATGGCTCCAGGGCTCCATTCTCATCTGCCAGTAATGGCCACACTGGTTCTGCTGCTTTCCCTGCTGGGTTTGGCTGCTGGTGGGAAGCTGCTGGTGGTGCCAGGGGATGGGAGCCATTGGCTCAGCATGAGAGAAGTGCTGGAGATCCTCAGGCAGAAGGGACATGAAATAGTTGTTGTTGCACCTGAAGTCAGTTTGCACATGAAACCTTCAAAGAATTTTGTGATGAAAATGTACTCAGTCCCTTACACACAGGAAGAGATGGAGGAAGTTTTCCAAGGATTTTTTCATATGTCATTTGAAGAAGGATCTTTTCTGGAAAGATTTATTAAAGTATATGAAGGTATGAAAAGAATCACGGACCTGGGTGTCATTGGCTGTGGTCATCTCCTGCAGAACAAAGAGCTCATGGGGTATCTTGAAGAGACCAAGTTTGATGCCATCCTTACAGATCCTGTAGTGCCTTGTGGGTTGATACTAGCAGAGCATCTTTCACTTCCCTCTGTGTTTTTCTTACGAGGAATCCCATGTGGTTTAGATTTTGAAGCCACTCAGTGCCCCAATCCTCCTTCTTATGTCCCCAGGACATTCACACAGCTTACCGACCACATGACCTTTCTCCAGCGGGTAAAAAACCTCCTCCATGACATCCCAAGTTTTTTTCTCTGTGATTTTGCCTTCCAACCGTATGAGAAACTGGCTTCTGAGTTCCTCCATCAGGACGTGACTGTGCTGGATCTCTTACGCAAGGGGTCTATTTGGCTCCTGTGGGTAGAGTTCGTGTGACCTTTGATGCCCAACATCATTCCAATTGGAGGAGTAAACTGTGCTCACAAGAAGTTGCCTCAGGTGGGTCATGCTGTGTGTATAATCTATGGTGTGATTGAGCTGGGTGTTCTCCAGTGTGGAATTGTGTTGCAGAAAGGAATCAGGTTCCCATTTAGAGTGAGTTAGCTGATTACTCATGATAGAAATGACTTTTATCTCATTTTCTCCCTCAGTTCCCTTTTCCTTGTAGACAGCAATAGGTTCTGGCTTTT